ATACAGTAAAAGCATTACATTAGTATTATTAGTGTACACAGTCATATCCCATTGACTATGAGTAGACAGGAGGAGATGGCTGGAGGAGATTAGAGACAAGGTTCATGTACCTGGACAAACAATAGTAGGCCAAGATTGAGGAGGTCCGGTGTTTAATGGACGTGGGCAGGTATTGAGTTACTGAGATGGGCTATTCTTTGCGTGTTAGTAATTCAATAACGGAAGACATTAAAAACTCTTACAATAATATTTATTTTATTTAAAAGTTGTAAAAGTGTCCCTCCCTGATACTGTTTCCTGATTTAAATACGAACATACATAATGACACACGCACACAGTGTACATGCATCTATTACTCTATTACTCTATTAATCTATTAATCTATTAATCTATTAATCTATTAATCTATTAATCTATTAATCTATTAATCTATTAATCTATTAATCTATTAATCTATTAATCTATTAATCTATTAATCTATTAATCTATTACTCTATTAATCTATTACTCTATTAATCTATTAATCTATTACTCTATTAATCTATTAATCTATTACTCTATTAATCTATTAATCTATTAATCTATTAATCTATTAATCTATTAATCTATTAATCTATTAATCTATTAATCTATTAATCTATTAATCTATTATATATGTACCTCATTATAGTTACAATAGATATTCACTCACCTCTGGTGCTTCCATCCATCCTCTCTTGACAGTGAAGTAAAGTCTTACCCAGGCACTGCCAAACGTTCTCTGTTCAAGATACATCATATAACCGCTTTTACTCCTACCTAATGATAATAATAATAATAATAATAATAATAATAATAATAATAATAATAATAATAATAATAATAATAATAATAATAATAATAATAATAATAATAATAATAATAATAATAATAATAATAATAATAATAATAATAATAATAATAATAATAATAATAATAATAATAATAATAATAACAACAACAATAATTCCTGTTGCCTGTTTGTTTTAATAATAATAATAATAATAATAATAATAATAATAATAATAATAATAATAATAATAATAATAAATAGAGTGTAGCTTCTATATAATGGACACTGTGTCTCTGTTATACAGAGGTGTCCTTTATGTGGAGGTTATTTTATACAGTAAGGAATGTAATTGGTACACTAGGTGCTGTCCGTTAAATGGAGGTGTACGCTATAGAGAGTGTCCATTAAGAGAGGCTACACTGTGTTTACAATTCTGATGAAATATCAAGCTGATGTCAGTTATTATTGCAGTTTGTATAGTCTCACAGTGTTTCGGTCCTTATCTCAGTCTATTTATTCTTTCAGTTCTCCCAAATGTAATACTGTGTACTTAGCAGCCCTTGATTGTTTGTTTATTTTCATATATTTATAAATGATTGTTTATTTCTTATAATTGTTTATGCATGTGCATGTACTTATGTTGTGTACATGGTCTTGAGACCAAATTTTATCAAAATTTGAAAGGAAATAATTCTCTGTTTTATTACATTTTCTGATACATATACATGTACGTAAGTTGTGTAGAAAGTTTGAACTCATTCCAATCAAAATTGGATTTTTACAAATTTTTAAAGTTGCTCCAAAATTGGGCCAAAGTTCCTGTACTAGACTTTGACCAAAGAGATTGTTTTATTTTAATTACATATTCTTTCCGCCAATAGGGTCTAAAATAAAGAGCCTTGGTTCCATAGAGTCTTTGGAAAGGTTTAAAGAGCCTCCACTTAGCGGCCCATTCTGTGACCTGATCTGGTCTGATCCATTACTGGAAGAAGTTCTTGGAAGAAGGATGTCTGACAAAGACTACCAGGAGGTAATAGACTCATACCCATACCTTGAAATTTTCATTCCTATACCTTCATAAATTCATTCCAATGCCTTTGCAATATCATTCCTGTGCCTTCATGGATAAAAATCTCATTTCTATGCCTCAAATTTTCATAAATTCATTCCTATTCTTTGACAAGCAATGCACCTTCATACCACACCTACATGTAGTTGGAATTCTCCACTGTTGGTCCATAGATAAACTCCATAGTACAAACAACATTTAGAGTACACTAAAGTTACATTCCAAACATTCGTACCAGCCACTGAAATATGAACTGAAATATGTCCTTTCCAGAAACTACTCATCTTGAGTTGACATGTACATGTACATACTGTATTTGCTGTATTAAAGTTTTATGTTTTAAAAGCATAAGATTTTATAATATTGTCCATATGACAATCTTGCTTTAAATTGATGAAAAGTTTATAATTTTTTCTTAATTTTTACAGTTTCTTGAAATCGATTACCTTCCGAATCCACCCAGAGGCTGTTCCTGTTTCTATGGTTACCTGGCGATCACCCCTTTCCTTAATAATAACGACCTCCTGGGGATCATCAGAGCCCACCAGTGCAAAGAAGAGGTATACACCACGTCAACCACATTTTAATATTTAATTATAAAATACCCTCTCTCCCTATGCTGTAGGGTATTGGCTATGCATATACTAACAACAGGAAGGAGTTGTTCCCGTTTCCATTGGTTACCACATTATTCTCAGCCTCTAACTATTGCGGATCATACACTAACAAAGGAGCCATTCTCCTCATATATACTGACGACATTAAAGTAAGACTGAGCATAAGAATAATGAATAATTACATATTCATATTATCATGTACTGTACATGTACATGTATATCAATATTATCATTGTTGAATTAATAATATAAAATTGTGATGATCCTTAAGTACTTGTACATATGATTGTCTATTTTAAATGATGACATCACAATGACATCATAATTTGTAGGTAATAAAGTACAGAAGCGGAGGAGAGACCTGGTGTGAGAATGTGCCATACTGTCCACCAGTAGACCCCACCAGTGTACCAGTAGACCCCACCAGCGTACCAGTAGACTCCACCAGTGTACCAGTAGACACCATTAGTGACACTACCAGTGTTACAGCTACAGATGTCGTAGCACCAAAGCCGCTGCCCTCAATAATAGAACCAATTAACGAGGAGGAGGAGGAGGAGGGGGAGGAGACTCAGTCAAAGAAGGACCAAGTCTTCAGGACTCGCTCCGGAGCCATGACTCAGGACAAACGACGGAACAGTCTTGACTTTCTACCACAGACCCCAAACAGGTCTCACTCAGTGTCACACCCACCCTCAGTACCTGTCACGATAAAGAAGAGGACAACCTTGAGACGGAAGAGCATGCACATGATAAGACAGGGCCACACCGGAGAGAAAGGTAGCGAAGAGTTTAGAGAAGCTCTGAAGAAAGATGCCCAGCATGAGATGCACCCTGGCTGGAACAGTGTCAGGAAACTAGCCGGGGTTGTTGGGTAAGGACTAGACAATGTTGTTCATCTCTAGCTAATCAAATAAGGAGATTTTTAAAAATTATCCCATTGCTTTAAAGATGCTGTATTGAATTATGTTCATACACTTATTATGTATTATGCTGTCATTAATTTCTTCAATTACATGTATAGTAGCAGGGAGACACCTAAGTAGATTATAACACACTAAACACAATTACTGTAACAATGACCCCAACAGAATGCCATGAAAGACTTGTACACATTTGATGTTCCTTAATTCTTTTTGTAGTAAGATGCAGGTTTTAAGAAAAAAGAAAATTCTTGACGAGTCTTCTTCTGGTGAGGAGAGTCCACCCCCTTCCTCCGAAGGATCCCGTTCACTCAGAAAACACTTCTCACAGTAAGTGAATATATATCTAATGTAACTGTAGGCATAGTAAAGAAGTTAATTATAAGGTTCTGTCTCTTTAGGACGCTGTTGGATAAAGTTGGCAAACAAGACGAGACTCAAATTAAGCTGATATTTCAGTCGATTGACAAGAACAATGACGGGCAGTTGAGCATGACAGAACTACAGGACTTTGCCCTTCAATTGGGGTAGGCCATTGATTTGCACTAGTACATCGATATGTATCTGGAAATGTAATAAAAATTTGGGGTGATTTCGGAGCCATTTTTTGAAAAAAACCATGGGCTATAGCCTTGGGTATTTTTCAGAATTTTGGTGTTTTCTTAAAATGGCCGTATAGCTTGAAAAATTGAAGTCGGAATCACCTCAAACTTTCTACGTAGCATAAATACATCAATATGTATCAGAAAATATAATAAAAATTTGGGGTTATTTCGGAGCCATTTTTTGGAAAAAACCATGGACTATAGCCTTGGGTATTTTTCAGAATTTTAGCATTTTCTTAAAATGGCCGTAACTCGAAAAATTGAAGTCGGAATCGTCTCAAACTTTCTACACAGCATAAGTACATCAATATGTATCAGAAAATGTAATAAAAATTTGGGGTGATTTCGGAGCCATTTTTTGGAAAAAACCATGGGCTATAGCCTTGGGTATTTTTCAGAATTTTAGCATTTTCTTAAAATGGCCATAACTGGAAAAATTGAAGTCGGAATCACCTCAAACTTTCTACGTGGCATAAATACATCAATATGTATCAGAAAATGTAATAAAAATTTGGGGTGATTTCGGAGCCATTTTTTGGAAAAAACCATGGGCTATATAGCCTTGGGTATTTTTCAGAATTTTAGCATTTTCTTAAAATGGCCGTAACTTAAAAAATTAAAGTCGGAATCACCTCAAACTTTCTACACAGCATAAATACATCAATATGTATCAGAAAATGTAATAAAAATTTGGTGATTTTGGAGCCATTTTTTGGAAAGAACCATGGGCTATAGTTCATCCACTGGGCATTAGTAGTCACAACACATATCTGAATCGACCTTTTCACAATATTGTTAGTGAATGGTTATATATTCTAATTCCTCATTACATTCACTTTAAAAGTCATTATCCCTTTCACTATAATAGCATGGTACACTCAGCAACTGATGAAGTAAGAAAAGAAATGGAGAAACTCCTTAATGAAATGGACCAAGGTAAGGCTGTAATTATTATATGTTAATAGATAAAAAATGTAATTTTAAACATGACAATGTATGATTACAAAAATTTATAATTATAAATATTATGGATAGTTTCGAACTTCTTCAATATAATAAAAATAATATCCAATCATGGAACAAGACTCTATTCTAACATCTTTCTATAGATAATGATGGCCATGTCAGCTTCGAAGAGTTCACGCAATACTTAACTGCACTTTCACTACTGGAGGAGAACACCATCTTAACCGAAGTGGCACCTACTACACCAGTGGACGTAGTACCTAAAGAATCATTTACTGAAAAAACAAAAATATTAAATACTTAAATATCAAAATATTATAATTATAATCATGTATAGCAATTAAAGTATCAATAGTACACAGTATTATTATTATTATTATTTATTTTTATTTCTGAAATCATGTGAGCTCAGTTTTGTCATTTTAAAATGAAATTCTCGTCATTTTTGATTCGGAGAGATTCCCAAGTATATGTCCTCACGGCTCATAATAAAATTAAATCTAAAATAATATTAATCAAGAAAAAACAGCAAGGATACTGCTACAAAGAAATAGATAAATCTATAGTATGAAACTTACCTCTTTCTTGAGGAATTTTGGATTCACTGCCATAATATAATTTTGAAATATTGCTGTCAAAAAAATTAAAATTGTAAGGTCAATAAAAATTTTAAAGATCTTTGCTAAAATAAGGACACATGCTACACAATGAGGGCATCAGTTAGGGGCGAAAGATTTTCAATCACCGGTCACATGACGGAAGTCATGTGACACATCAGGTGAACTATGTAATCATCACATGACCTCATCCTAACACAATAACTTGTCAAGTACTTACATTAACATCATCAAAATAATTCGTCTCTTTGAAGTACATGATCCAAATACATTCATTTTGATCAATTTGTTACAAAATTAAACCTACAAAAAACATACACAATAATAAATGGATTATTAAATATATTGATTGATTCTAATTAAAAGGACGAGAACAATATCAGATAGGAGCGAAAGATTTTTTTCTTTCAAAATGCTTCACAGCATCAGTTGAACTATGTATTCATCACATTAATGTCCTCAATGTAGAATATAATATTAAATAAAACAATATAACCACTTACTATTCATCAATATTTTTGAATTTAACCCAGCCATATTCGCTAATAGAGACTAAAATATCTAATTAAAAATAAGAAAAAAACAGGTATAAGATTAATAAATATTTTAAAAAGAGATGTGGAATCAGATTACGATAGAAACTTCATTGCATTTCAGTTGTCCCTATCAGAATCACATCATTTTCCTTAGCAACCCTCTACCAACTTACCATCCACCATTACCATAAAGCACGTGGTAGGTAGTAACAAACTGCGCATGAGCACAACAGTTATTAATTAAAGTTAGTTAACTCTAATAATAGGTCACACCCTCTCACGTGGAAGTAAAAATGGCGGCAGACCGGGAGGGCCTTAATGTGAAAAGAGAACCAGTGGATTATGACAGGGAGGGATTGGAAATGCTGTCCGAGGATGAAGAGGAAGATGATTATGATGAGCTTTTTGAGCAGTGCTCAAGGACTGACCTAGTCTTCACCTCTGCCTTTGGCAGGAAAAGGCGCCGAAAGAGAGCAAGACATAGAAAGAGGTCTGCTTGCAGCAAGGCGGCTAAAGCCAATAAGGAGGATCCTCTAACCAAAGATAGCTCTGTAGATGAGTCTCGAAATGACTTTACGAATAAAGGAAATTTTAAAAACGATCAGATGAGTGTTGTCGTGCCTCAAGTAGTAGACATCGTCGTTGATTTCACTCAAGCAGCTCCAACTTTCAGTCAAGACTTTAATGATATAGACCGATTCACGATGGCACACAGCAAGGAGAAGAGGCCAGCCACAGATGATGATGATGATGATGATGAAGGAGTACTTGATAATGGTGATAATAATGGTGGATATGAAGAAGATGATGATAATGATTGTTTCAATTCGGATGAAGAAATCATTGTCACTGACGACAGATCAGTAACAATAGCTCCGATTAAAGTTGTGGATGGTAAGATTGTCGTATTAATGGACGATAACAATAATCCACTGGAGACTTCAAAAGATCCGAACGTTTCCAAAGACTCAAACATTTCCAAAGACTCAAATATAGAAGTAAGCCAGGAAGAAGTGGATGTGATGGAGGTTAGTTCAGGTGGCAGTCCAACAGAAAATGGAGAGACAGTAACACCAGGAGATGCTATGGGTCCAATAGTTAACGAGGGAACAACAACAACACCAACGACAACGACAGGTGCTGTGGATGAAGTTTTAAAAGATGATGATCTTACTCAAGCTGTGGATGAAGTTTTAAAAGATGATAATCTTACTCAAGCTGTGGATGAAGATCTAACTGAGAATAACGATGGAGCTATGACTGATGGAGGAGGTGTAGCTAAAGGTTTAGATGGAGATTTGACAGACAAAATGGATGAAGATTCATCTGAAGTTATGGACGTAGGGCTGAGCGAAACAATGGATCAAGATTTAACTGAAGCAGCTGTAGAGAACACTGAGAAGACGCTTGAGGATTCCTTGACAAGAAATGAAACTGATAATGATGATCCTCTTTTGAAAATGGATACCTCAGAATCTAAGAAAGATTCAGAAGAAATGGAGACGGTAAGCCACAAAGCACTTGAGGATCTGTCTAATGGAGGAGGAGCAATTGATTCAAGGACAAACTGTAGCCAAGGACAAGAAGGTGAGGAAGAGAAGGATTTAGAGCAAAAAGAAGAGAACTCACAGCAACAAGAAGAAGAAGGAGTAGACAAAGATTTAAAGGAAAAAGAAGACAGGAATCAGCAGCAGCAGCAAGATGATGATGATGGAAGTGCCAAGTTACAGGAAGAAGATCCTAAGGATTTACAGCAGGAGGGAGAAGAAGAGAGCATTCTTAATGGAGGGGAAAGTGGCAATACTCAAACTGGGACCGTTGGTGCTGCTATTATTAGTAACAGTGATGGTGCTACTATTATTAGTAACGATGACATCACTGCTATTAATAGTAACAATAACGGATCTACTATTAATGATGCTGTGACTATAAATAGTAACAATGATGGTTCTACAGCTAATGATGATGATGACGACATTGGCTATGAAATCACGCCTAGTTTAGTTCAAAAGTTCCAATCTTGTTCCGAGTCTCAGGATCCTATAGTATCGAGTAAGAATGCCGCACCTAAAAGTGACGAAATGGGTTTTTTTGATTTTGAGATATCGGAGAGCCAAGTGAACAATATGGATAGACCAGAGTCACAGAAACTACCTCCTCTCGTCCCTTCTCATTCTCTGGCCCCTCCCTCTTTACCTCCTCCTCTTTCCACTTTCCCTCTTCCTTTGGTCAATGAATCACAAGATCACTTATCAGACCGTGAGTTTATTATTATTATTATTATTATTATTATTATTATTATTATTATTATTATTATTATTATTATTATTATTATTATTATTATTATTATTAGTAAATGATGTTCAAAAGGTCCAACCCACTACCGATCAAACTCGTTCCTGTCCTCGTCAATCCTCTTCTTCTCCTCCTCCTCTCCCTCCCTCTCTCTCACTTCACCATTCACCTCCGCCAAAAAGAAGAAAAACCAACAGACTTGAAATATCAAGAGGCGGTTCTGAGATAAGGAAACTCTCTCCTCTAATCAACAGAGACTCTATGAAGCTCCCTGGGTGGGACTTACGAGAGAAGATACCCCAAAAACAGTATTTCCTGAGAATTGTAATTCCTGAGGGAGCTGGAAAGTTCACGTCTTCTGGTCACCTTGTTTTTGACGGAGAGGAAGGGCCAGTGTGGTACCACAGGTTCTGTGTTGCTGGTAAGAGTGGATCGTATGGAGGCATGTCACATTGCAAGTCCCAACCACCGCATCCTTGTGCTACTGTACTTCAGAATACAGGTTAGCATGAGAACCGATTAGTTCCATTGTCACGAAATCCGTAACAAGCAAAAACCCATTAGTTCCATTGTCACGAAATCCGTAACAAGCAAAAACCCATTAGTTCCATTGTCACGAAATCCGTGACAAGCAAAAAGCCAGTCCTTGTACTATAATACAGGGACTTTGACCTGATTTTTGAGTAACTTCAAAACTTTATTTAAAAATCCAATTTTGATCGGAATGAGCTCAAACTTTCTACGCAGCATAAGTACATGTATATGCATCAGGTACTGCATCTATTTTACTTTTATCATCTCTTTATTTTTCAATAGCACCATCAGTCAGCTCAACAAGAACAGCTCAACCTCAAGCAGCCATTACTTCATCAAGTATCTCCATACCTTCATCATTAGTAGCTCCTTTACCCTCTACAACTAATTTGATTGGTCTCTCATCTCTCCCTGCCCCTCCCCCTTCAGCCCCACCCACTGTTGACATGTCCATATATGATGATGCTGTACAGGGTGACGTGGGGGGTGTGTCTCAAGGCACTAAAAAAATTGTAATAGAGTCGGATGATGAACGTGGTAAATTAATATTCATTTTATCGTCTAATTTTTATAATATCTTTAGCATCAAGTCCTGATTCTGCTGACCTTTTGATCAGCACTCGCTGTCCCAAAGACTCTGAAGAAACCTTACCAGCTGCTCCAATCACAGTGAATACTTCTACCACAATCAACTCCTCTTCCATGAAAGAGAATACTTCAACTGCTGCAGAGAACCTTCCTTCTGCCTCAAGGGGCACTTCTCCCATGACAACAAAGAAGGATACTTCTTCAAAGACAAAGAACATTTCTACCACAGTCACTTCTCCTGTCACAGTGAATACTTCTACTGCTGCAAAGAACCTTTCTTCTACTTTAAAGAGCACTACTTCTGTAGCCAAGTGGGACACTTCTTCCAAGGGGATCACTTCTACCTCAAACAACACAATCACTACTGCCCCTACAAAGAGCAGTACTGCTCCAGCAAAAAAGAACACTATTTCTACCACAAAGAACACTACTTCTGCAGCAAAGGGCACTACTGTCACTAAGAATGCCACCAAGAATGCTTCTTCTGCTTCCTCAAAAGACACTACCTCTACCACAAAGAAAAGCACTAATTCTACAGCAAAGAAGAACACTAGTTCTGTCCCCATAAAGGATACCACAGCTACTTCTGTCCCCACTAAAGACACTGCTTCTGCAGCAAAGAGGTCTTCACCTGGAGCAAGGAGTATCACTACTTCTGTGGCAACTTGTGCCTCTGGAGATGTAGTGTCAAAGAGTAGAGCATTAGAAATAATGAGAGAGTTCTACATCAAACAAGCTTATCATAATTATGGTGAAAAGAATTAAAAGGAAGGAGTAATGGTTTTAAGAATAATGGTGAAAGACATTTTGAAGTTTATAATAGCTAGTTTATGTTCCTATGTAGTGTTTTGCATTCTGTAGTAGGAATTCACTTATGAATTATTGTTGGAACCTTCATTTCTTTTAATAATAGCGTACACTAGAGGTGGGCGATACCAGAAATTTTGAATCGATACCGATACCAAGTAGTCTGAGTCTCAGTATCGATGGTATCGAGTAGTGAATGAGTAGTCAGCTACTGCGCATGCGCAATTAAGTTATAATTAGTTATTAATAAAGCGAAAAGAAATAAGCCGCCATTTTGTAATTATTAAGGGGTGTGGGCATTATTATGACGTAATAAAATAGGTGTGGTGGGGCGTGGTTACCACTACTCGATACCAGGATTTGGTATTGAGTACTTGGTATCGGAGGCCTGGTATCGGATATATGAGTACTTTGGTATCGTATCCCCCACCTCTAGCATACACCTCCATTTAACGGACAGCACCTAGTGTACCAACTACATTCCTTACTGTATAAAATAACCTCCACATAAAGGACACCTCTGTATAACAGAGACACAGTGTCCATTATATAGAGGCTGGTCTGTATTTGGATTTATAGAGTAAAAGTCTTAAAAATATCTCAACAATGATACACAATAAAGTTTTGGCCCCTGGGGGTCGTTTTAATATTCAATAATATTGGTCCCAGTTGTACCCCCCATCAGGGGTCAATGAACCAGTGAGGAGTAAAATGACGTCAACAATCCACCAAACCCCCAGACCCCCTAGCGTTAATAATTTAGCCACACCCAGACAGCAGTAGCCGAGACAGAATCGATCGACTCCGAGTAAACCAAGAAATACCGAAAATATTAGAATAGTAGGAAAATATATTCCTTTATACCTATAAATAGAAAATAATGATAATTGGGACATTACAAAATGTCCTCATTAAAGAGGCTACATTACCTCACCTAACACAGGGTACGTTTTTCTTAATAAAAGTTTTATTTCCGTAGCATTGAACTCCATCCAGTACTGTACAGTATACAGAAGTATTCTCAACATCTTCGTAATACTCACTACCAAACTATTAATGAAACAAATATAAAAGATATATATCATAAAAATTAACTTGTATTTTATATTACTGACGTACTGTGTTACAGTACCCTATGGTATCATTGTCAGTAGTGTTAGTATCATCATCAATGGACTGTGGCTCGTCACACTGGTAGTATGAGTCTGGTCTATAAGGAAGAGAAGCAGTCCAGAATAAAATAAATAAATTCTATTTTATTCTTACAGCAAGCAGCAGAGAACATTAGGTGTGCTGGGGTCATAGCTTTCATCTAGTACCGTCTCACTACAAGTATCAGTCTCGCTCCACTTGAGACAGTCTCCACCAGCAGCTACTAACAGTAATAAGAGGAGATGTGGACAGAAAGATTCCTTCATCATTGCTAGCAAAATATTTACACCACGCCTATTTACAAGCTCCACCTTGTAATGAATAATTAATTTTGCATACTCTAGCTTGCTTGGTGCTAATGAGCCCCACCTTTTTCATTATTGCAGGGGCTCAACTCTGACTGGAAAATAGTGGAAATTCCTAGCAAGTATGGATGATAATAACAGCAATTCTAGTAACTGCAGCTGGAATGGGGAGGTCATCTTGATGAACGTTACACAAGGTGTGATGGGCAGCATTGGAACTATTATATGCATCATGGCTCTTGTGATCATAATAGTCAGTAGATTCTTTAAGAACATTGTAGAGAGACTCATTGTGTACAAGTTGATAGTTATGATGATTTTCTCACTTTCTGAAAGTCTCCTTCTCATTTTCTTTGGCTACAATGATTCTGAATATTATAAAACTCTGGAAAGGATTATGCCAGGATTGGTACCAGCTTCTTATTTTACCAATTTACTCCTCACATTCTGGCTGAGTCTTATTCTCTTTTTATGCATCGTTTGTCTCAAAGACATGAAAATATTTCGGAGACTCGATGCTTTGACGATTGTCAGTTCACTTTTAGGAACGTTAATTTACATTTATTATTTCATTTTTGTCGAATTTGACGACTGCACCTTTTCGTGGAACTCCAATTCATCGTCTCATAAAGAGATCATTGCCGAACATATTGTTATGGGCTTTTGCATTTTACTGAGTGTTGCCCACTTGGCAATAATAGTAATGGTGATAGTAATATTTATCAAAGCTTGCTTACACTCAAGACCAAAAGAAGATAAAAATGAAGAAGAGAATCCCTTACTAACTTCAAATAGATGGAGGACACTACTTCAGCCATTACTACCCCTGATGGTTTATCCAATCATTACAATACTGTTTTCCTCTATCTATCTCTCTGTCTATATAGCTTCTTCTTCCATCGAAAGATTGAGTGTCCAGTTTACTCTCACTCTACTTTTATCAGCTCCTGGGCCAGTGACTGGATTAGTTATAGTCATTCATCTTTGCATATTGAAACACAAGAAGAAACGGAGGGAAACGATACAGCAAGAGAAAGTATCAAAAAATGTTGTTTCTAATTATGTTTTGACAAAAGGAACACTAAATTCATCAAGTACAACCTATGAATGTATAAGGTCATCTAACTTAGATTCAAGTTACTGTTGACTTAGTTTCTATTATAAAATGCTATTTTGTGACTGTAAGCTGCCAATGAGGTCTACCTTTTTGTAATTTACATAATTATGAGCTATTAAATTCAAAATTAAAATTTACAACACCAAATAAGGCACTAAGTAATATATAATACAGTCCTTCCAAAAACAAAATAATAAACTTAAACAATAAACAACAATAAAGCACTCTAATAGTCTCTTAGTGAGGGCGTGCCAGAGGTATAGCTGAGGATTCTGAAACATGTCTCTTTCTTGCTGGGAATGAGAGGCCACCTCTAGACCCTGTCATGTCTTCTAACTTTAACTTACCAGAAATGATGTCTTTGATATGCTGAATAATGAGATTAATTGCAACTAAGAAATACAGATATTGATTATATAGTGCATGGTCATGTATTGGAGTACCATCATTCTCAGCTCCTCTAGGTATAATCACATCAGCATACTTCTTAGTCTAAAAGAGAGAATGAATATTATAGTAAAATTCTTAATAGAGCTCAGCAATTATAGAGTATAGTTGAAATATTAGTAATTGGTGGGTTCACTATAAAATCTGCTATTTTGGTGCATGCTCAATGACATGTCATTGCAAAATCTTTTAAAAACCACCAATTTGATCATGCACTATATTACAGTATTTATCAATCACTAACTGGGAGTGTGAATTCTTCAAAGGCAGGCTTCACGAACACAGTGTACTGATCAAGAACTGATTCTAATGTCCGACCTCTCTCTTGAATATCTCTTAAAACTAAACACATAACAATATTGATAGTATCAGTCGCTATGGATACTGATCACCACCTCTTCTAGCTAGCCTTGTGTCGCTGTCCGTGTCCACAAAGAGCTTCATTTGAAGCATTTCTCTAATCTCAGGATCATAGAGAATGAGGATTCCTTCAACTAGTATTACCTCAGAAGGTTGGATTACTCTACGCTCTGTCTTTGATCTAAAAAAAAATATAATCTGAAATTGCAATAACTATGGGCCCACTTAAATATATATACTTGTCCCCATGCTAATAATGATTATTATATAGCGAAGACTCATGCCCATGTTTTGATACCTACCTGGTATGAGTCTTGAAATCATACACAGGTATGTCGACAGTTCTACCAGCCACAATCTCCCTAAGTGTTTTCTTTAGCAGGTCAATGTCCAATGCATCTTAATAAAAGGAATAATGATATTCATTACTTCAGCAGAAAGAATAACAGCAATCAGAAATGAATAGCTATAAAAATTGTTAGGATAAATAGATTCTTGCATTATCAATAACTTGTGCTGATATTGCAATTGTAGCTACTTTGCCTAGTCTAGTCTACTATATAAGAAATTGCATGCTAACTTCATGAGATTGCAGCATGAAGCATGATAGTTGCACTGAGTAGTAAGCAGATTGCACAATAAACAGGTCATATTGCAAGGTAAGCATGAGCTATAGTTCCAGATTGCATTTGGTAAGCACATGAATTACATCAGACTATATAACTGCAGACTGAGCAAATAAACAGCAAATGATCCTTAGTTACAACAACAATATCTTTATATTAGTAGCTCATTTGAAGTAGCAATCTAATTTTAAGCTGTTAAAAATCTGGTGAAACTACACTCAATTCATTAACTTTCACTACATCATAAACATAAATTATACATAAAAGTTCAAGCACAAAAACAACTAGTTGCCATGTTGTCACTATGTCTTACCAGGATGATCAAAGTTGTATTGATTCCTTGAAGCCCTCTCCCTCTGTTCCTGAGAGAGATCACGATAGAAACTGTCTTGACTTATCATGACTACCTTTGGATTGACCCCCTCCTGACAAACTGCCTCCATTATTTTACGGCATACTGAAGTCTGACAATTAAAAAAAAGAATACAATGATTATTACTATCATCATTAGTATTACTCATAGTAATAACACTACATTGAGATGAGTATAATACTATTTTACTGAAGAATAATGGCTGCTTTCTTGGCAGTGACTTTAAAGCCATATTAGGTAGATGTGAAATAATAATTTTAACAAAAACCTCAATATAATGTGCACAAATGATGATTCTCAAACAAGTAGGGTATAAACGTAAAACATGGTGTATATACAACTATTATTTTAATTTCATTATTCAACTTTCTTTCTCTCTTTCTTTCTGGACCTACCTTTCCTGAGGCAGTGCCACCAGCTACTCCAATCACGAAAGGCCTTCTTCCTTCTTCTTGCATTCTTTCTAAATCTTATAAAAGTTTAGAAAGCAGTCACTTAATTCATTTTTATGCTCTCACAACAACCTTACAAGGCCCACCCACTTTAGAGGGCGTGGCTAATTAGATATTAATTAAAATTATTACGTGGGTGGGTTCACTATTGGCTGGAGGTGCAGCTGCCCTATATTTTATAATTGTTTATGGTGAATTGGTCATTGCTGTTAAAATGTATATATACAAAGATATAAATTTAACACAGAGGATCATAATATTATTATTTATCATCATGTTTTGTTTTTAAATATTCTCCTAATTCATTCCAGATCTTTGTCAACTCACTTCTCATCAATGGAGTAAGTGAAGAAGTATCTGATATACTAGACTGTAGCTGTGACCATGAAGAACTAAAATCTGACAGAATATCCTGATCGGTCTAAAAGAGGAGAAAGGAATATTAACTGGCAAAACTATGCATGCAAATTTGATTTACAATATTATCTGAAGACACATTGGTGATACCATTCCCTTCAATCTCCATTGCAGTATTAGTTGGTTCTGCTTCAACAATAGACTCCTGATCTTCAGTTTGTTCAACTTTTCCTTTAAGCAGATACTGTCTTTGATCTGATAATACTTTAATTATATTTGAGGTCTCCAGTAGTTCAGGGTGCCCATTGCAACCGTGAGGAATCTACAGCAAAATAAAACAAAATTGACACAATTTATTTTAACATAAATATCTAAGCATATAGTAACACTACCACGTTACTAACATACAGACTAGCCTCTTTATAATGGACACTTTGGTACAAGAAAGTTGCTCTGTTTTTTTACAAGAAGGTATTATTTTTTTACTCTTACCTTCTGAATGAAGTCAATGACAAATGAACTGACACTTTCTGGTATGCACTTCTCAAGGATATCAGAAAATGGAGTCACTTCAGCAAAATGTTTAAAAGACTCAAGCACCAGCTGTTTGGGTAACCATGGCAACTCGGCACTCAGCAAGGTATTAAATAAAGCACAGAGAGTCTCTTTGAGATCATGATGATTTAAAGGACCACAAGAATGAAGAAGAGAATATATACCGGCAACTGGTAGTGGAGAATTGGTGCTAAGTGAATTAGCAATCAGCCAGTAAGTGGAGTGTAGAACCTGCAATGAATAAATATGGGGGAGTGGATTAAGTTTTAATTTGTCTTTTTTACTTTAATAATTTGCTCCTTGTTCATGTCATTCAGTAATAAAGCAGCAACTGATAATGAGTGATCACTAATGGCAGTACCATTATAATCCTAAGAAAGCAGAAATGACATAAAATACAATAAAAATGCTACACAGCATTAGTCTATGTCCATACTGATTTTAATTGCTTTTCTGTTGTTTTTGTAACGCAAAAAGACATCAATTTAATAATGACATCAATTAGTGGAGGGAGGTGTGTCAGTAGGTGTGGTCTACACTGTGTACTGGATAATGTGTTGTATATAATCCGTAGACAGTGGATCTATAAATAGTAACAATAAGTCACATGATAGTCACGTGATCATAATGGTCTTACAGTCGTTGTAGAGGAGTGGTCGTCTTTTTTCAGAGTATCCATACAATAATCAAATAATAATGTAGAAAACTATAATAATTAATAATAATAATAATAATAATAATAATAATAATAATAAATTACATTTTTTGCTGAAGAAGAAGTGAGAGCTGAAACAGGAACAGTAGACCAGAAGTGAACATTATTAGAAGATACTGGAGTGAACTTGTGTAGTAGCAACTCCTGAAATAAAAGAGTATTTCTTAAAAATTTAATAGTAATTATTACTTAGTAAAAGTAATTTCTTTGAATGCTTAATTAAAATAAATACGTACATGTACATGTTGTTTCATATAAATTTAACCTGTTGCTGTGGGGTTAAAAATGCAAACAGTCTCCAAAAGAGACACTTGACGTTATTGATTGTGTGGGAGGAAGCAGAATCAGGAATAACGAGGACCTACAAATAGAACCAAAAACTAATCAGAAAACTGTATCATATATACACAATATAGTGGGGTAAAGTTTCAGATTTTGGCTACTTTTTAAAAATGGCCGTAACTTGAAAAATTGAAGTCAGAATCACCTCAAACTTTCTACACAGCATAAGTACATCAATATACATCAGAAAATGTAATAAAAATTGGGGGTGATTTTGGAGCCATTTTTTGGAAAAAACCATGGGCTATAGCCTTGGGTATTTTTCAGATTTTGGCTCATTTTTTAAAATGGCCGTAACTTGAAAAATTGAAGTCAGAATCACCTCAAACTTTCTACACAGCATAAGTACATCAATATGTATCAGAAAATGTAATAAAAATTGGAGGTGATTTCGGAGCCATTTTTTGGAAAAAACCATGGGCTATAGCCTTGGGTATTTTTTAGATTTTGGCTACTTTTTTAAAATGGCTGTAACTCGAAAAATTGAAGTCGGAATCAGCTCAAACTTTCTACACAGTATAAGGGCATTAATATGTATCAGAAAATGTAATAAAAATGGGGGGGGGAGAGGGTAATTTTGGAGCCATTTTTTGGAAAAAACCATGGGCTATAGCCTTGGGTAATTTTCAGAATTTTGACATTTTGTTAAAATGGCCGTAACTTGAAAAATCGAAGTCAGAATTAGCTCAAACTTTCTACACAACATAAGTACATCAATATGTATCAGAAAATGTAATAAAAATTTGGGGGTGATTTCGGAGCCATTTTTTGGAAAAAACCATGGGCTATAGCCTTGAGTATTTTTTAGATTTTGGCTCATTTTTTAAAATGGCCGTAACTCGAAAAATTGAAGTCAGAATTAGCTCAAACTTTCTGCACAGCATAAGGACATCAATATGCATCAGAAAATGTAATAAAAATGGGGGGGGGGGAGGGTAATTTTGGAGCCATTTTTTGGAAAAATTTGGCCAAAGACGCTGTACTAGAGTACAGGAACTTTGACTCTGCATATAAAGTCCTCACCACTCACCAGGTCTGATAACAGTTTGACGTGGCTGTAACATACTTCACTAGTGCTCCACCTAACAAGAGAGAAACCAGAAGACTTGAAAGTACATGTGTATGTGCATTACCTGGCCATAAAGGACCAGAGATCAGCTGATAACAGTGAACAATAGAAATCCTCAGAAAACAAGTTATACAATAGCACTCTCTCCTACAAAATTAATAATAATAATATGAAAAATTTGAAGGCAACAGATTAAAAAAAAGAACTCAAAATTGACAAGAAAATATAAATATTTCCTCACCAGCTGCTGGAAATATTCTGCCGGCATCAGTGCCACTAAACTGCACACATGGACACACAAGTGCTCGTAGAGTGAGACCTCAACCAGTGGCTGACCAATAGAAACGATTCCCGGGAGACTGACCGGCAAACTAAACTCAACATGACCTAAAAAATAAATATATAAAAATTAATAATAATTTGAAGATTAAATTAGAGAAGTCTTACAGCTGCTGGTACAATGAAAAACTGCTCTCAATATTCTATTAGTGTCATTTGACGTGCTCTAAAAATATTTAATTAATTAATTAATTAATTAATAATACATGTACATGTACTTCTTGGGCTGTGATTGGTTCCAGTAGGTACGTACGAGATGGAGCTGTAGAGAAGTGGGTGGAGCATGAGGTGGGGCAGGGGGAGGAAATCAAAATGATTCATAACTATTAATATCGTACCTTCTAGCTTTTGAAATGATTTCAGCAACAGACAAATCAAATAACACCAGGAGTAAGAGTACCTTGAGGTCAGTTCTAATTAGTGCACAATATTTCTAATTAATGCACATTATTTCTAATTAAAGCACACACAGAAGCGTATGTACATCAATACCTGATGATGTTGTTAGCAGGTTAAGAAACTCTTCACAATTCATAAGACAAGAAAACAATGGCTCCAACTAAAGAAAAAGAGAGAAATGTTAAGCAACATGATACGAACATACCACCACAGGTATGTTTGCTTCCAGCTGCAGCAGAACTGGTTTAGGTATTGCCTTTGAACAAGATGGACTTGGAGGAAGTAAACTAAATAAATAAACAAACAAACAAACAAACAAACAAACAAACAAATAAATAACAAAATAAATAAATAACATACAATGTTACAGTAAGCCTCAATAGGTATACCTTATTAATTCCAGTAAGAAATTAAAGACGGTTTCACTAATAATGTGATGATAATTGTCATATTCCTACAGTAACAGTTGTGAGTATGTACATCAATATATGGACACTGTGTCTCTCCTATCTCTACATTGACTCCTCCATTTTATCTAATCCCCTCCTCTTTCTCTCTCACCTGTACTATCCTCACTATGAGGCTGGCAAAGAACCGACAGAGTTTAAGTAACCGAGAGAATAAATTAGCCAATTCACTTGAAGACTAGAAATAATGATAATAATAATAATAATAATAATGATAATAATAATAATAATAATAATGATGATAATAATAATAATATTTATAATGAGTATTAAAGCTAATTATACAATAGAAACCTCATTTTTCATCTACAGCTGTTATATGTACATCCATCCCTCCATTCTATAACCAACCTGTCCCCCTCCATCATCATTATTATTATTAATTCCGGTATCAATGGTTTCTCTTCCTTTAATTAGAATAGCGTTACACAGCTCTTGTATCATCTCATAGTAGGCGTGGCAATCATTGCCTAGCAACCGAGGAGCGTCCTTTAAGTGACAGACGAGTTTACCGAGGGACTTCCAAGAGATTAGGAGAAGAGTTGGATCAAACTGTAAGGACAGCTGGACTACTGGGAATAATGAAGAAAGAACTAAAAAGAAAAGAAAATGATACAAAATAATAATTAAATGGCTTTATTAACCATTTTTTATTGCACTGTCTGATCTGTCCTCCGTTAGTGGGTGTGGCTTCACTAACTCCACACCCTCACATGTAGCCTACATAGTAATGTATTGATCATGTGATTATCATGTGATTCTCTACCTTCAATAATGACACTGTTGATTTGAATAATGAACCAAGACCAGCTGCTAATGATTCGAAACTTGATTCATGATTAGTCTCTATATCCTACCACACCAATCAATAATAATTAATAATTAATAATAAATATAATTATACTTACTTTGCATAATTTAAGAATCATTAAAATAATTTTAAGAATCACTGACAGCATTAGTGAGAGTGATGTCATTAACGATGTATCATTATTATTATTATTAATTGATTGTTGTACTGACTGTTTGATATTCATTAGTACAACAGATAAACTATTAACAATAGTGTTCATACACTAATGGAAGGAGAGAGAGAGAGGAGGGAGAGAGGGAGGGAGAGAGAGAGAGGGGGGAGAGAGAGTATCATAGTCATAATAATATTTTGCATCTACTTGACATTTCTCTCCAGCTGCTTCATTCCCTCCAGTAGATAACAATCCTCTTAAACTATCAACAAGAAACCCAAAACACTCGACAATCTATTTATAAAAAAACTATAATTAGCAACAGCAGTCTATAAATAGTATCAACAATTACAAAAAATTCACAAAATAAAGAACATGTACATTTCCTTGTGATGATTACCTGATGATGTGATCCTTGTATTGCTGGTAATAGATCAGGACTGTTGACTGCTAGTGACTGGTCTTCCAGAGACGAGAGCAAACACTGGAGCTGTGATTCTAACCAATACCAGGTTTATTAGTATGATAAAATGTACATGTATTACCTGAGTCACCGCTCTATAGTATAAAGAATCAATAGTAACAATAATGGCGAGCCTTACCTTTAAATTACTATCCCTAACGTTCATTTCTCATGTTTCTTTAAAATTGCTTCACACTGCTTGCCGCCATTTAATCATATTCAACAGAGGGTTAAATTTTAACTTTTTTTGGAGAATTGTGCACATTTAAAGCACGTGCTCAAATCAAAATGCAACACCTAGATCTAAGCATTGATGAATAAATATAATAAGAAGTGTCCTTTACATTTGATATTCATTAGGTGGCAAACATTAATTATAATAATAAACATAGTTTGAAAACAGCTCAGCTAATCAGTACACTGACAATAGAACACATTATTCACCATTTGGTTTGTACTCTTGATAATATATCAGATCATTGTATTATTACATAATGTTGCATAATCCTATTCATGTCCAGCATTCATTGTATAACATTATGTAAGAAACTATATCATGAGAAACAACTCAACACTGAATTCCATGATCAGATAAGCAGCTTTGATAAGTTACCTATAGGTATAGCATTTACTAGTATGATGATATTATTTTATCAAAACCTATAGAAACCACTCTGGCATTACATTATGTTAAAACTTAAGCCAAGAAATACAATATAATTTATAAACAGCACTAATAGTTTAACATGTGCAGCTATAGCTCAATCTTGAGGTGTTTATTGTAGATTTATCAACATCCAGGAGGTAAGTTAAAAGCATCTGGAGGAAGCTCAGTAGTGACATTAGCATACCTATAAGTTGTAGAAAATGAACCTGCATCTTCATTTCATTCAATAGCTTACTGTACAATGACGTCTTCAGGAGGCATGAGTGTAGCAATAGAGGTTGTGATTGGAATACATTCGGTACCCTCCTCCCCTAGCGGATGATAGGTGTAGTAGGAAAAGCCATGCTCTTCAAAAGTGTAATGAGCCACTGTTACTCCCAGTCCAGGTAACTTTGCACCAAGTGTTTCCACTGGTCCATCAAAGTGAGCTCCTGTTGGGACACCAAATAATGGAAACTCTCCTTCCAGTGTTTCATTCCTGCAGGTGAAATTCAAAGGAGAGAATACATACCGGATCCTCTAAAAATTGTTAATTCATTGTAACTGAACAACAAAGAACTATACCTTCTCGTAGTCTTCCAATACTGTTGTTAAAGGTTTAGCATTTCTACTTGCATAAGATCTCATATCACTGATTTTTACCTTCTGCTGAGACCTATCATAGCTAGCTGAGGATATTATGAATTTAGATTCAGTAACACCAACTCTAATCTATAATATAAAAAGTATTGCAATACTCTACTGATCTCATTGTATCTCACTGTAAAAAGAACTCCAGACCAGGTTACTGGGGTTTCCCTGCATCTTGGCTCCTCTGGCTGAGCAGTGCCAGTGTTAATTAAGAGAGATGTCACAACTACTAAAGCAACAATCATCTTTGCAAAGCAGATATGTCAATTATCAGACCATCAGGTGTCTAGACTAACATCTAGTGAATATCGTTAAAGAGCCTGTTTATCACATAAAGCATGTTGTTTTATCAGCTGTAGTTTTGACATGTAAAAAAGTGGGCACAGGACTAGATCTACTCACTGTATACATGGGATGTATAGATGGGATGCAGATGACACACTTCGAAAAATTTTAGTTGGAATCAACTCAAACTTGCTACACAGCATAAGGGCATCAATATGCATCAGAGTACGTAATAAAAAGTTGGGGTGATTTGGAGCCAAATTTTGTGTACTATGTAGATGTACATGTGCTGATATGACATTACATGTACATTGAATGCTGACATCACAGCTAGATCGAATACAGTAATACCAACCCAGCTAGCCACACCCTCAATTATCAGATGTATAGATCTATAATCAGTATAATATACCGTACGCGTCTTAATTTTCGAGGTGTATTAAATTTCGTTATTTTCGTGCTCACCTTAAATCCACGAAATTTAAACCACCTCTAATGCCATTCTATTGTATGTAGACTATGGCCAGAACACGAAAATTAGCTCACACGAATATTAACTTTTGAGCAAATTTCATTGAAAACACGAAATTTTGAACCCTCGAAAATTTGGACGTATACGGTAGGTCAAACCATTGTCACATAATTCACACTTGCCTGACTAGCATTATGCAACATTATGTAAGAAGTAATCATGAAAAACACCTCAACTAATTCAATGCTCAGAAAATACCACAAACCTATTGCAAATTAGTTAGCAAATGACACAATTCTATCACATAGCATCAATTGTAGTTGACTCAAACTGTGTTCCTGTACATCTCTATGCACAGTATAGACTTTCCTTATCATTTGAAAACAGGCTTTCCTGAGAAATATGCATTATGGCTACCCTCTGCAGTTGTTTGTGCAATATGCACATCAATGCATGGGTCATTATTAAATAATGATAAGAAAGGTCATAAATATGAGTTGCTTCTATTAAATTTTTGGTGCCATAATGGTATAAGCAGTCAATAGTTCATTTCCAAACTAATTGACCTTTTGCATGAAATTCTATGCTGAATTAGTTACTATTATTACTTAATGTTGCATAATGTTAATCATGCTGAGTATAGCATTAATATTATACATCTATGAATAATTAATCATCTTATTAATAACTTTGTTTTATCAAAGCCTATAAAAACCACTCAAGGACAGAAAACAAAATCTATACTATATAATTAGTTTAACACAGCTCAGTTTTGATGTTCATCATATGTTTATCCACATCCAGGAGGCAAGCTAAAAGCATCAGTAGGTAGGACAGTAGTGACATTAGCATACCTATAAGTTGCATAAATTTCATTTTATTCAGCTATATATAGCTAATAGCTTACTGTATGATGTCTTCCCCAAGAGGTTCAAGAGTAGCAATAGAGTTTGTGATTGGGATACACTGGGTACCCTCATCTCCCAGTGGATGATAGGTGTAGTAGGAAAAGCCACGCTCTGCAATAGTGTAGTGAGCAACTGTGACTCCCAGTCCAGCTATTTTTGCACCAAGTGTTTCTACTGGCCCATCAAAGTGAGCATCTTCTGGTACACCATATGATGGGAACTCTCCTTCCAGTGTTTCATTCCTGCAGCTACCACTAACAGATGTGTAGCGAATCCTCTAAAGATTATAACTTCCATGAAAAACACTATTTACAATAAACTATACCTTCTCATAATCCTCCAGTACTGTTCTCAATGGTTCATTGGTCATTGATTTCACATCAGTGATTTTTATCTTTTGTGCAGTCCTACTATAGCTGCCCAAGGATATTGTGAAGCGAGCTTCAGTTGAACGAACACTAATCTATATATATGTATATATATATGTATATATATATATATACACAATGTATTTAATGCACTATAATATAGCTGGGTCACATTGCAACTCACAATGTAAAGATACCCAGACCAGGTCTCTGGGGTTTCCCTGCATCTTGGCTCATCTGGCTGAGCAGTGCCAGTGTTAATGAAGAGAGCTGCAACAACTACTAAAGCAAGAATCATCTTTGTAAAATAATATGAGGACTTCTGTGTAGACTGTATATAGGCTGGACCGACGACTGAGATTAAACTAGTGCCGCCTCAGATTTTATGTGCAAATATTAGCGAGCCGGCGAGAAAAGTTTATTTAGGCACGTGAAATTATCATCACGCCATCTGATCCCGCGATTGTTGCACAACATTAGCTAATATTATGATAAAACAATACATGGACAACTCAGTCCAGAACTGATTAATCACACCATTATGGCGTTCCGCGATGAGGCTGTTTTGCTATAGCACTATCTTAGGATCTAACCTTAGCCATAGCCCGTCAGTGATAAAAACTACTGATAAAAAAGGCTAACTGAAATCTTTGGTGACTTATTATAAATCTTTGCAGGTTTATTATCAAAAAATATCATATCAGTATCAATATTAATGTTTTCAACCAAAAAAGACTATAGACTAATAAAAAAACTACATAACAATAGTAAGCAAATTAAAGTCAAGCAGTATACATAAATGTCAGTAATAATGCTGTTCCTTCCTTGGCAGTATTCATTCACAGCCTGGAGGAATGCTAAATGCACCAGGAGGCACAGTGGTAACAAGCTCAGTGAACCTAAAATAATAATATAATTATTAAGATGTACTGACTCTAGTGCAAACTGACAACTTACTCTTGCAGCAGAGGAGGCTTAGCAAGGAAAGTGAAGTAAAGTGGGACACATACTGTACCCTCTCCAACAGGAGCATAAGTGAGGAAATAGATTCCATCTCTGGTGTTCTCTCCATAAAAGTCATACACCAGTACTCCTGTGTCGGGCAGCTTCCCACCAAGATAATGAGGACCTACTGGGTTAGGCAGGGATCCTTCTGGTACTCCAAAAGTTGGGATGGTCCCAGTAAGGTTGCTCTTTCTGCATTCTCCATTTTCAGAGACATACCTTGTACCCTTTTAAAATACATCAACAACAAGTGAAACAAGAGGAGGCTTACGGTGGTATAATCATCAAGTGTGGTACGTAAAGGCACACCCTTGTAGTCAGTGGTTTTAATCTTTTTTTCATCTCTGCTATAACTAATGACAGCTCTCCTAGGATTGTCAGTGGATATCTATTAATAAAAAGCAATTAGGTAATATAGCTTGCAAGGTCACACAGGCTGCACCATACTGACCTCAAACAGGTGGCCAGACCATATTGGTGGACTCTCCAGGCAAGTAGCAGCAGCACTAGCTATGCCCAACAGAGCAGCGGCTGCAACAATCATCAAGAGACACTTCATTTTAGTTGCGGATTTATCACAGAAAAGTCTCTCAGCTAATCGTACTTATGATATTTATGATCTCGTCCAGCCTTTAAAAACAATGAATTGTACCGTAAAGGTTCTATTTAGCTCTTCTGTTTAAATTTTTTTACGTCATCAGATCATGAGAATTATTATAAGGACCATGAATTTAGCACACAGTAGCACAGTTTTTGTGAATTTGAAGAGTCACTCTATATTCAAATTATTTGCAGTGAAAAAATGAAGTACTTTGCTGTCGTAGTTGCTGCTCTGCTCTTTGTGGCTGCTAATCCAATAAAGGCAGCACCAGCTTGTGGCACCACCCCACCACAGTGGACTGGATACGTTTATGAGGTAATCATGTACATATAATAATGCAAGAATTCATATTCACTGCAAGTGCAGATCTCATTCGCAGATGCCAAGCTAGCATTGAGGATCTCTCAGGCTAATTATGATCGTAATGCCAAAAAACTCAAGATATCTGACGTCGATGTAAAAGAATCAGCCCAAAAGACTATCTCACTCTTTGATTACTCAACTGTTAGTTAAAAGCATACATTATCATATAAATGACTGTCTCGTGCAGGGAAACTCATATGTCTCAGTTGAAGGACAGTGTACTAAGGGAAATGTTACTGGTGATATCCCAAACTTTGGAGTACCATCTGATGCAACGGCTGAGCCTGGTGGAGCCAAATATCTGGGATCATCTCTGCCTAACCTAGGTGTACTGGTGTACGAGTATTATGGTAGCAACAGTGTTGATGGAGATTATTATGTCACATATACACCAGTTGGTGATGGTACTGCATGTGTTCCAATCCTTCGTTCCACATTGACTGTTAGTCCTCTGAAGGAAGCTATTATTGAGTAAGAATTATGAACTACTGGACTAATAATTATAATCAATAATTATATTATTATTATTGTATAGGTACACTAATATAACAACTACTCTTCCATCGGATCCCTTTAGCATGCCTCCTGGTTGCTAAGAGAAGTGTGACAAAACTATTATAACTTTATATTGCTAATTTTTAGGCCTTTATTAATAGCTATTATTATTATTTTTGTGTTTATGCTATAGTGATTTTTACTGCTATGTGCTTTATTATTACAAGTGAATGAAATTTAGCTGCAAAACTGAATAATAAAACAATGAGACAAAGAAAGAAGAGCTTGACACCCATTGAACTCTTATCAGCAAATGTTATGTAATAGACTGTAACATTAATCATCCCTGTTGTTTATTGTAATAACTGCATGTGAAACACGAGTATTAGTAAGAGTATTAACAACTGATTCAGCACTGCATGCACGCATATATCAGTGATGATGTAAAGTTTCATAACTTGTAGTAGTAAGCATATAATGTGACATTGTCTCTAATGAAATTCATGATTATCTTCAAAAGCTGCTGCTGAAATAAGAATCATCAGTCACTTCATCATGAGGGAATGACATGCTATTATGTAACATAAAAATGTCAAAGAATAAAGCCAGCACAGCCCATTCAGTACTACTGCTTAGCCTGCAGAACAAAGGTGCACTGAAACACCAGCCACCAAAATGGACGGAATATGCATGCCAGAGTGCAAGCTAGGGAAGTACAATGAAATGCAGTTTTTGTCTCTATTCTCAGTGTCAGTGATACAGAGTTGAGTTCCACCTTGGAAAACTGGAGCTGCTATGATCTCCAGCTAACTATGACAGGGCAGGTCAAAAGATCAAGATTACTGAATACTGCGTCAGCCCCAGGGGCGTATCTAAGGGTGGGCCTGGGTGGGCCTGTGCCCGACCAACTCAGCAGACCAAAAAATTTTTTTCTTTTGTATATTAGTCCTTTTAAAAATATTGCTCACTTTATCATGATAGCAATGAGACAAGACTAGCATAGCTAATAGTTTTAGCCAGTGTAAATATAATGATGACATGGTAGAGACTTCCATAGCTCCATTTGGGCAATTGGGCTGCCATTTTTAAAATAATAACTACTACTAACCAATCAGTTATTAGACTATTCACATTAATTATTAAAGTAATCGAGTTGAAAATGGCTAAGAAACTCTGCTGGGTCTGTTTGAATGTCTTCCCAAGGCCAGTACTACTACTAATGAAGAAAATATAAGCACTGAAGTGCACATCTTAGCTTAATATCACTATCCATTCATTCATTTTTTTGTTGATTATTAATTTTTATATTTTATCTGTCCATTTATTTATCTATTTATCTTATTTTCTCTTTTCTTTTGTTTCTTCTGTTTTCCGGGTGCCAGCAGTTCTTGTTAGTAACCCTTCAGGATGCTTCCTCTGTCCTCTCTTTCTCTCTGTACTGTACTTATTTTTATTGTTCTAGGCATTCTGTAAAATTACAATTAAATTAAATAAAAATTAAAATTAATTAAAGTAATAATCGTAGTATTTAATTGACCACGCCCATCATGAATATTAATTAGCTCTAAAAATTTTCGCGGCGCGCGAAGCGCGCCGCATATTTTTTCTCAGTGCCCAGCCAATACTCAGAGCTTAGATACGCCCCTGGTCAGCCCTGTATCACCAAAAAGAACCATGCATACTGGATATATTACTACAGAAAGCCTAAATCGCACTATGATTGTACAACAGATTGTACCGTAAAAGTTCTAATTAGCTTTTATCTGTCAAAATTTATGTTACATCATTATGCAGTCATCAGATCATGAGCATAAGGTCGTGAATTCAGCACACTGTGGCACAGTTTTTGTGAATTTGGAGAGTTATATCCTCAAATTATTTGCAGTGAAAAGATGAAGTACCTTGCTGTTGTAGTTGCTGCTCTGCTCTTTGTGGCTGCTAATGCTGCCCCATCACGAAAGGCTGCAGCACCAGCTTGCGCCACAACTCCAGCACAATGGACTGGATACATTTATGAGGTAATCATGTACATATAATAATGCAAGAATTCATATTCACAATGCAAGTGCAGATCTCATTCGCAGATGCTAAGCTAGCACTGAGAGTGTCTGAGGCTAATTATGATCGTGATGCCAAGAAACTCAAGCTAACTGACATTGATGTAAAAGAATCTGCCAAAAAGACTATCACACTCCTTGATTATTCAACTGTTAGTTAAAAGCATACATTATTGATCATATAAATGACTGTCTCATGTAGGGAACATCATACACTTCAGTTGAAGGACAGTGCACTAAGGGAAACGTTACTGGAATAATCCCAAACTTTGGAGTACCAGGTGGTGCCACAGCCGACCGCAACGGAGCCAAGTACCTAGGATCATCTCTGCCTAACCTAGGTGTACTGGTGTATGAGTATTATGGTACTGACAGTGTTGATGGAGATTATTACGTGACATATACACCGATTGGTGATGGTGAAGTATGTGTTCCAATCCTTCGTTCCCTATTGACTACAAGCCCCCTGAAGGAAGCTATTTTTGAGTAAGACTTACGAACTATTGGACTAATAATTATTATCAATATATTGTTTAGGTACACTAATATAACAACTACTCTTCCAGCAGATCCTTTTAGCATGCCTCCTGGTTGCTAAAAGAAGTGTGGCGAAACTTTAATGTAGTATTGAACATTAGGTGTCATTATTATTTTGTGAATGATTGCTTTTATGCTATAATTAATATTTCTAAGATTTAATATTATACATGAATTAAATTAAGCTGAACACTTATGACACTTCACAAAGAAAGAGCTTGAACTCTTTATCAGCTAATGTTACACAATATAACACAATGCATCCCTGATGCTGTTTGTAATAACTGCATGTGAAACATGAGTATTGGTTAGGAAACATTACATAATGAGCACAGTGACATTGTCTCCAATTGAATTCATGATACCTTTAAAAGGTGTTGAAATAAGAATCAGCAGTACAGTCACATGCATCAAGTTGGGATGACACACTGTTATATAATGCAAAAAAAGGTCAAACAATAGTCATTCATAGTCTCCATAGCAAATTACAGAGACTCTTGAGCTCAATAGCAACTCAGTATGTCCTTGAGTGTACTTCTTCTTGTTGTTCTTTTTGGAATTGCTACTGCTCAGCCTTCAGAGAGGTGCGCTGCAACACCATCAACATGGAGTGGATACATCTATGCAGTAAGGAATATAGGAGTGTAAGGGAATGATAGTGGAATGAGATGGTTTTTTTCTCTTCTGGAATAGATTGAGTTCCGCCTTGGAAAACTGGAGCTGCTAATATCTCTGGCCAACTACGACAGGGAAAGTCAAAAGATCAAGATTACTGATACTGATGTCAGCCCTGGATCACCAAAGAGAACCACACTGGAAGAATGGAGCACAGTAAATAATGCACTGATCCCTCTATTATGCTTCTTGTCAATAGAAAACACGTTATGTTTCTGAAAATGGGCAATGCAGGAAGGAAAGAATAGAAGAGGCTGAGTTTCCTAAATTTGGAGTTCCAGAGGGGGCCAAACGTATTGGAGCACCAGAGTATCTTGGATCCAAGCTTCCTAATCTAGGAGTACTGGTGGAGCAGTATTCCAGAGCAGGGAGTGAAGGAGAATTTTTTGGAACGTTTGCTCCAATTGGGAATGGAGAAATGTGTGTTCCAATTATAACTTCTACATTGACTGTAGTACCACTAGCTGAATCACTATTAGAGTTAGTTTTATGAAACATGCTCATAGACTTATTCTTAATATATTCATTTCAATACTAGGTATGTTAATGTTACTACTACTCTCCCTGTTGATCCTTTTAGTATTCCACCTGGATGCAAATGAAGATTGAAGGATTGAAATAAAACTAGCGTGTGTGTCAGTGTGCTAATCATTATTATTATTGTTATTAATATTTCTGATACTTGCTCACGTGTAGTGATATAAATTTGATACTTTGATTGGTAACACACATTGTGATGCAGTACAAAAATGCATAGCTAAGCAGTTTGTTAAGCATGTTTTGTCTATAAGAATAAGCTCCCTGAAATCACTCCCAATTTCAGTGCAATAAAACACACACACACACACACATACAGTTGTATGTGTATACATAAGATGATTATACATGTACTTTTCTACCAGTTAGTTCCATCCCAGTATCATACAGTAATCTCTTTCCTTCCACAACACAGTGATGATGAGTTGAGCCATGAGTCACTGACAGTATACCAATAGACTACACAAAATAAATAATTTTTGGCACATTACAAATTATCTTTACTTTATCCAACTCAAGCTTCATTCATTCTTTAAGAGCTATTAAAGCCCCACGTAACGAACCTCTGCAACAACAATGGTCAGTCGGATCCAGATCATGGTGTAGTAACTTTAGTGTGTCTGAAGGCAGTCCTGAAGTTGGGACCTTGATCACGTACTAACTTGAGGTAGGCTGCATCATATATATAGTGACCCCAAACAGGTGGCCAGACCATGTTGGTGGAGTCTCCTGACAAGTATAGCAGCAGCACTAGCTATGCCCAACATAGCTGGGCGACGAGACTATGCATGCCCAACAGAGCAGTGGCTGCAACAATCATAAAGAAGTGCTTCATCTTAGCTGCCAATTTATGACAGAAAGCTCTCTCAGTACTTATGATCTCGTCCAGCAAAAGATTGTATTATAAACCCTTGTCTGATGACTGGAAATGATATAATTATATGTAACATACCACGGTGGTAAGGCTGTGTTGTATTATAAACCCTTGTCTGATGACTGGAAATGATATAATTATATGTAACATACCACGGTGGTAAGGCTGTGCTATATCATTTGCAGTCATCAGATTATGAGTATAAAGGGTTGTGATTTCAGCACATTCATTTAGCAAAGTTTTTCCTGAATTTGGAAAGTCACTCTATACTCAAATTATTTGCAGTGAAAAGATGAAATATCTTGCTGTTGTAGTTGCTGCTCTGCTCTTTGTGGCTGCTAATCCAATAAAGGCAGCACCAGCTTGTGGCACCACCCCAACACAGTGGACTGGCTACATTTATGAAGTAATTATTTACATATAATAATGCAAGAATTCATATTCACAATGCAAGTGCAGATCTCATTTGAAGATGCCAAGCTAGCACTGAGAATGTCTGAGGCTAATTATGATCGTAATGCCAAGAAACTCAAGATATCTGACGTTGTTGCACAAGAATCAGCTCAAAAGACTATCACACTCCTTGATTACTCAACTGTTAGTTAAAAGCATACATTACTGATCATATAAATGACTGTCTCATGCAGGGATCATCATACACTTCAATTGAAGGACAGTGTACTAAGGGAAATGTTACTGGTGATATCCCAAACTTTGGAGTACCAGCTGGTTCTACTTCTAACCCCAGTGGAGCCGAGTACCTAGGATCATCTCTGCCTAACCTAGGTGTACTGGCGTATGACTATTATGGTACTAACAGTGTTGATGGCGATTATTTTGCAACATATACACCAATTGGTGATGGTAGTGTGTGTGTTCCTATCCTTCGTGCCACATTGACTGCAAGTCCCCTGAAGGAAGCTGTCTTTAAGTAAGAATTATGAACTATTGGACTAATAACTATTATCAATATATTGTTTAGGTACACTAATATAACAACTACTCTTCCATCAGATCCCTTTAGCATGCCTCCTGGATGCTAAAAGAAGTGTGACGATGCTAAAGAAGTGTGACGAGGCTAATTATAACTTTAGAGTGCTAATTTATAGGCCTGTTTTAATTGCTATTATTTTTATTTTTGTGCTTATGCTATAGTGATCTTTACTGCTTTTGTGTGTTTTATTATTACAAGTGAATGAAATTTAGCTGTTAAACTGAACAATAAATCAATGAAACAAGAAAAGAGAGAGCTGCATGACACCCATTGAACTCTTATCAGCAAATGTTACACAATAGACTATAACATTAATCATCCCTGTTTTTTGTAGTAATAACTGCATGTGAAACAGGAGTATTAGTTATACAACCTATAATAAGAGTATTAACAACCAACCAATCCAGCACTGCATCATGTGCTACATGCATGTTGTATGCATGCATATGATGATGTAAAGTTTCATAACTTCTATTAGCAAGTATTGTCTCTAAAGAAACTCATGATTATTTTTTCAGTAAAAGGTGCTGCTAAAACAAAAACCAGCAGTCACATTAACATCATGTTGAGATGACATGCTATTATATAATATAACATGCTCATAGACTTATTCTTATATTCATTTCAATACTAGGTATGTTAATGTCACTACTACTCTGCCTGTTGATCCTTTTGGTATTCCACCTGGATGCAAATGAAGACTGGAGGATTGAAATGAAACTAGCATGTGTGTCAGTGTGCTAATCATTATCATTATTATTATTAATATTATTATTATTATTATTATTATTATTTCTGATACTTGCTCACGTGTAGTGATATAAATTTGATACTTTGATTGGTAACACCCAGTATTGTGATGCAGTACAAAAATGCATAGCTAAGCAGTTTGTTAAGCATGTTATATATGTCTATAAGAACAGGCTCTCTGAAATCACTCCCAATTTCAATGCACACACATACAGTTGTATGTGTATACATAAGATGATTATACATGTACTTTTCTACCAGTTAGTTCCATCCCAGTATCATACAGTAATCTCTTTCCTTCTACAACACAGTGATGAGTTGAGCCATGAGTCACTGACAGTATACCAATAGCCTACACAGAATAAGTATTTTTTGGTACATTGCAAAAAGTGATCATCTTTACTTTATCCAGTAGCTTCATTGATTCTTTAAGAGCTGCTGTATCTTCTGATACTTGCTGTAATAGTTTGGCTATTTTATAACAATGGAGCCCAAGGAATGGATTATAAGTTGAGTAATATAACCTAAAGATGACAAGTGTATTAGAGAATTGCAACATTAACTTAATTTACACTAAGGACCAGAACACATGATATATCTACTGCATCATTATAATGATCTTAATAGACTCACTCATATTGCCCTTTTAATGCAACAGCAACTTGCAGTGCTTCCCTCCACTTCTGCTGTTCTAAACACAGTGCAACCACTAACTGATAAAATTATAAAATGACTTCTTACCAATGTAGGAATCCATTAAACACTCTCTCATCTTTACTATGAGTATATTAGTATCACCAAGTCGACTGCTGTGTTTAGT